AGTTCTGACACAAATGAAGGGAGCTTTGGCTTTGGCTCCCTTCCCCTCCGTGGATATGGATTTGACTGATTATCTTTCAGTGCATCAGTTGGGCCAGCACTCTTAGCACCATTCCGCAAAGGAGACACTCCACGCTTGCAAGCTTAATAATATGATACACTTAATAAAGCTAGACCCGTAGCCGGTCCTTTATCATTCAGTCATCTCAATTATCGAAGAGGGCCTCAACGAGCGTCGCGGTGACACAGAGAGGGGGGAAACGGGAAATGATGGGAAAGAAAAAGGGGGAGAAAAAGAAAAAAAGAAAGAAGCTCGACCAGCTTTGAGAAGTTATTGAGGAGCGTCCACCACAGTGCGCGCAGAGGAGTTTAATATTTCTTTGCGCTCTGGATTTGGCCGCTGAAAAGATTGGGAATGACACTAAGTGTTTCTCCAGCTCGCATAGGTGATATCGAAAGCCACGGACGTGGAAGTCATGGAAACAGTCATGGACGGGCAGGTATAAAGGCCACGCATCTCAGTCACACGGACTGCTAATAGGAGAGTTTCCCAAAGGTCAGTTCGAGCAGCCATCGAACCACAAGCGCATCTCGATTTGCTCTCGAGATGTTTGTTTTTTTGACCTTTTATCATTTCTAAATCAAACCCCAAACGTCAGGCAGCCCACGTCTGTGACGGGGAAACCAAACATTGCGGTCTGCGGCAGCAAACGCAGGCAGAACGGAAAGAAGTCCGTCAGCGAGGGTCGTGATTTACTCACAAAAGCCGCCCTCCTTTGATTCCGCCGCTTCACCGCCAGTCAGAACGCGAACACAAAGACGGGAATCGTCTGGAGGCGCGGAGCCTTCCAACACAAAAAATGCTCAAGATTTATGAATTTGTTCTTGGTTTTGAGAAGCAATTGAGGCAAATTAAACCGTTTCCTCGGGGGAACCCTGGTAATCAGCTTAAGTGATTACATCAGTTGTAATTTTGAGATGATGAAAACTCGGCGTTTGCAATGTTTGCTGCCCTGAAGCTGAACGGGAGTAGACGTGATGGACCATCTCTCCAGGAGTGTTTCTGGTGCATGGGGACGAGGCTTGCGTGGGCATTGGTTGCCCTCTAGCTGTCAGCGTTGAGACTTTGTTATAAAATATTGTCCTACATTGCTGTCGAGGTGGGTTCATGAAGAGCCATCCGGCTTTTCACCTAAGCCTTGGTATTCGTTAATCATGTGGCTGTGGAGGCGCGTGATATCAAAAACTAGTCTCTGATGAGTTTGCGGTGGCTTTAAAAAGTCCGGACTTGACAACATCTGCTAAATAAGAAAAACACATTTTTCTAGGTTTCGGAAAAAGTCAGATTTTTATTATTTTTTAAAAGAACACCGGTAAAGACTGGGGGGCAGAGATCAGCCTACAGAGTGTATTTGGTTTCTGCCATAAAGGCTCATATAACTTTTTTCTGCGTTGCAGAGCATAAACCATGTGTAGGGTGATGATTTTATTTGTACTCTGTCTTGACAGCTGTCATCAAATCACCGAGGCCACGGGCGAAAAACACGGCCTCTGAAACAAAGCTGCCCTAAAAAGGAAGCCTTTTTCCCTTTAATTTATTTATTTTCGTCCTCCAAAAAGGAGTTTTGAAATATTGCGGCTCACTGGAAAACGAATTATTTCATTTGAAAGAATAATTTCTGACAAATGTCTCTGTTACCTACAAATAATGCACTCTGACTTCAAACGTCTGAAAAACTCATTTCAATAAGAGAAAGGGATCATTTGAAGCAAATATTTTTTCGTTATGAAACCTAGGCATGCATAATAAAGAATTTGCGGTGGTGAGACTCTGATGAGCAGCGACAACATGTAAGCGAAGGAGACTTGGATAGCCATGCCGCAGAGAGGAAGAGGAACTTAGCATCCGGGGTTGCAGAGTACAGAGATGGCTGAGACCATTCAGACGCTCAGAACTCTGGTGAGGAGGACATTCAAAGAATTCTAATGATGCTCAAGGAATGAGGACTCCGGATTGGTTTGAAAAATTTAGATAGATTGTAAGATGTAAGCAAACGCTTGGTGGATAAAAGATAGTTATCACGAAGATTAATTGTAGCCGGTATCTCTGTATCTATCGTGCACGGTGTATTTCATTGGTGGAAGCCCACCGAAAGCTGATGTTTAGCAGAGGGCCAAATCAGCCTTCCCCTGTTTCTTTTGAATACAAAATCCAAAGTACTTCTGAGCTCAAATGGCTCTGTTCACTAGTTTCCCTCTTCCCCAGACTTCCTCTGCTGGGTCACAGGGGAAAACTTGTTTCTGAGGGCCCGACGTGTCTGTCTGTCCAGCCGGTTTTAAGAGGCAAATGGGCATGTCATGTTTTGATTTGAGGGAGCTAATGATGTTAATTTCTAAATGTTCCGATGGATGATTGAAATTTGAAGAAAAGGGGGACAGCCGCAGCTCAGACTAACGGCCACAAACATTCGACTCGAGGCCCCAGTAGCCAGTAACGTTCTTAGTCAGCAAAGTCATATGATATTTATTTGCAATAATGGTTCCGTGTGTTAAGACAGACTTCTGGTTGCTGCTGCGCATTTTATGGGACAAACATCTGGGGTTTTTTTCCGAATGTTCGAAGAAACGGGGGGAAGGAAGTGACGCGCTGAATAGAACAGAGGGAGACGGTGGCAAATCTTAAAGACGTCTGATGACTATATGGCTAAATATTAAGTTTGTTTGTCCCTCATGCTTGCGTGCGTTTGCTTTTTTTGTTTAGTTTTGGATTAAAGATCTCCTGCCCAGGTAGTGAGCAATCCAGGAAAACTACTTCTTAACCCTGCTTCCACATATTTATTTGTGTTTCAAGTAACTGCTCTCAAACGCAGGCGTTTTCAGTTTAAATGCTGCCTTGCATCTATCGAACGGCCCACGAGGGCTTTGCTTGTTACAGAGGAGTTTAATGCTGCCCTGTGTACTTTATTGCCATCAAATGTAATTCACGTTGAGTTGATTGCGCCGAAAACCATGTTTATTGGGCACCTAGCAACGGTGTTTTGAATGAAAATGACCTCTTTAAAGAGCAATTAGGAAAATGAACCTATAGGCCAAATGCCTTTGAGCTTCAGATTTGATTCAATAAACCTTGTTGTACGGTAATTCAGGCAGAAACAAATCTAAAGTGGAGTCAGCCAGACAAGTGTACAGGGTTCCCTGACGGCACTTTTCAGCCGAAGGGCGTGAGAGTTTGATGGAAAAGATTAAAAGATAAAAACATTGCGGCCCGCCCAACCCCCGAAAGGCCGATTCAAACTTTATTGCCATGGTTCAGATTGGCAACACAAAAAAAACAACAACACAAAATTATATTAATTACAGGAAATGACTCCAAGATGGTTTGATGTTTGCATGCATCTGTATTATTCATTGGGAGACCTTTCTAGCAAACCAATATCTTTCTTTCTCATGCATGCCAACTTAAAGAGTGATTTTATTTTTCTCAAGGCCTGAGAAGGGGAAATAGGTCTTTTGTAGGGGTGGCTAAAGGGCCACCGCGATGCTCGCACATCTGAGAAGGCAATTAGAGATAACGCCACATTTCACACACAGTTACCTATGCTTTGTGAGAGAAAGTACAATCATAGAACCCAGAGCGAGCCTGTACTGAGGGCCTTGTTTTTCTGCAGTGCTTTCCTGTGCCTCCCCCCTCGGCGAACCATAGCACGGGTTGTTACTCTGTGTTCTAGATCAGGATCCAGATAGCGTCTCATCATCCAAGACTTACTCCACTTTTCCCCCCATTAGATTTTTCTTTTCCCCCCGAATTCCCTCACAATCGTTCCCCCCCCTTTTGCACACATGCATCTTGCGCACACACCTCGTTATCTCATTTGTGGCCTTGGCAGACCGGATTGTTGCTTTGCGGTTCGGTAGCCAAAGTTTTTCTCTGTCACAGAGAGCCATGGGTGCAGAACTTCCACCGCACAAGCTTCCACCAGAGCAGGAAGTCAGTTCCCAGCATGTTTAGCCCATCCCAGTCAAACCTGGGACGGATTAACCTTGGGCAGGGGGGCCTTTCCAACTTGGAAAGAGAGTTACGCAACTTCCCACACTTATCTCCCCCGTCTATTGCTGTGACAGTAAAATGTGTTGGCTGAAAAGACATTTGTTTAAAAAATGAAGTTTGGTCCCTAATAGTAAAGTCAGCAAAGACCTGATATGGGATATTACTTCCTTTAAGATGATCTTTTTCAGCATAAAAATGCCTCGGCAGTCGTTCGTGTTTGTGCAATATTCTCTAAAGGAGGCTGTAGTTACGATACAAATTCATTTTTATATCGTCTTGTGAATTTTGCCAAGTTCCTGGTTAGTGCAGAACAGGCTGGGCTCCTGTATTGTGACTTCTCGGACCAAAATAAGCAGAGTTTGAGCAGTGCCTGACTTTTTCCATACCGCTGTTCTCCAGCAAAAGAGGTGGGAAGTAAAAAGAGATCATTGGTTGACACAATTTGCCTAAAAATCAATTCACTGCACCCAACAGTCTGCTGCATCATAAAAGGTGTTGATAAAACTGAGACACGTCCATATTTTGAGTCTGGATGTGTGGCTACCATCACTATTCATTGCACACTAAAAGAGAATGAACTCAGAATGGTTGCTAAAAGATTCTGGCTAATAAAGACTGTTTTTCTCATAATAAATGCCCCTTTGGGGGAGGCTTTGGAGCATCTAATCACTTCCCTAAACAGTCTAAAAGTTAGCATTTATTACTTGATCACGGTACAGAAATAATCAGCCTTTAATGGCCCTTTTATCCTCAGGCCTCCAGGATTTAGAACACTCTGGGTACAAAAAGACATAATCGGATGTTTCATAATGACAGAATGAAGTCAAAATGAAAAACACTTTTGTTTATTTGTGAATCATTGAATAAGATCCCACAATGTAACTCAAAGATGTCTTTTTTGTGGTGTCCAAGTGAGAAACGATTGAAACTGTCCTCCTCTGTTTTTCCCGCAGGCGGCACAGGGAAGCACCGAAACAAAGAGCCAAAGAAGAAGAACAAGCAGAGGCTGCGGTTTCGGGCCCAGAACCAGCACAGCGATCACTTGGCCTCCGTGCGCTCCGGCCAGTGAGGACTGACCCTCCCCAAGTGGACAGAGAACCAACGCAAAGCTGCTAGCCGCTGCTGCACCCGTATTCTGACCGACAACTATCACAAATCCCAACTACTCCCCCCCCCCACCTCTGCTCTGCCCACCAGGACACAGCCACACTTCACCAATCCCTCACTCCCAAAATATGTGCTGTATAATCAGCGATATCGGTACCATAAACACATGCTCTCCACCTCCTCCGGCCCCTGCCCCATCCCCTCGCCTTCTGGACCTTTATAGCCGACATAATTGAACTCATTTCCTGTCATTAACCATGCCATTAATCGTCCATGGTGACAAAAGACGGAGGGGCAACCAGAGGTAACACGGAGGTGGGAGAGCGAGTCAGAAGATGGTGGATAGCTAGAGAGGGAGCTGGCAAACTTAGAAGCCTGGGAAAAAGGTGAGAATGTGCTGTGGGGTGAAGAAGGAGAGGAGGTTCAGTTGAAGCAAATGATGCTGATGGACTAGAAAATGGCATCTTGAACTAAAAGAACTTTTTTTTTGTTCCTCTATTTATGTCCAATGATACCCTCACCTTCCCTCGGAATGGAGGCAGAGTGTTCCCATGTGTGGCCTTTATGTTATGTACATTTTTGAGAGTAATATTAAGGAAAATTACCATGCGTAGTTGCAAAGTATTTTATTCTCAGCACAAACCGTTTACGTTCGGACCGCTTAATGCTGTAACTGTATATTGTCGAACTTAAAAAAAGAAAAAAAGGAAAAAAAATAGTCAGATTTAGTTGTTCGACTAGCATGGCAACAAACTCATGTACATAGTTGATCTAATTATGAAAGCTTAATATTGTATTTTCAGTATTGACTCATCCACCGTTGTAAATGTTTTAGAAATATTAAAAAAATGTTGTAATACAAGCTACAGAATAAAATGATTAAAAACAATTAATAAACTTAGCCACCTCATAGCTTTTTCATTTATATGATATTATATATATATATATATAAATATATATATATATATACACACACACACACATACATGACTATATATATATATATATATAAATGCATATATATATATATAGACAAACATATATATGTGTGTGTATTTGATTTATTTATTAATTCCGTTTTGTACTTTCTTTGTTCAGTGAGTACTTTTGCCTCATACTGTTACTCTTATATGCTGAGCTATTCTTTTACTTCCTTATAACATTTCCTGTCTGTAATAAGCAGAGAAGGTTTTCGTCTGTATCACAAGTGTTGTAGCCTGTTCCTTTCATTTGACCTCATCTACTGATTTTTGATGCTTTAAAGACGAAGAAGACGAAAAAAAAAAGAAACTATGCTTTCACATATTCTAGGTTTATTAATTAGGCTCCAGCTTAATGTAAGGTCATTGGACTGCATATGTGTACATTGTGTTTTATTAAAACTACATTTCATGTGACTGGATTATAAAGCTTTCATTATTGTCTTTGGCTTTGATATACGCGGGTAAACTCTGAAACTGGCCTATCCTTTGTCTCACTTCTGAGTACAATTAAGTGATTTTAAAAGCATTTGGGAAATCCATTATGTGGCACTGCATGACACAACTTAAACCTCCAGCCAAGGGATTGGACATGGTCGATTGGGTTTTAACAGCATGACGGTACTGGTAACGCTTTGTAATTCACAGTGACGTATGCTTGTGAATGCTGCAAAAACTAACGCGTGTCGTTGGTGGCTCGCCCACGTCCTGCATCAAAATGTAATTCCGTAATGACTCGAATTTGGCTCCGGCAATTGCATTTCATCGTGCGTCACCAAATCGATCACTTCCTCGTTGGGATGAACGCGAGCGTTTATTTTCATGAATATCCTGAAAACGTCAAACAAACGCATAAAAGTTTGCCTCTGTCCTGCAAATGTGCGGCGTGTGTGGGGCCGAGAGAAAAATAGCTTTTAATGCAAGTCATGGCTAATTTGGCCTAAGATCCACACATTACAATCACCCACCCAGAAGAGGAAGAAAATCCAGATCTGCCAGACAGCTTATAAGATGCACGGTAGCAAATTAATCACATTATGTCACATATCATCCTGGGCAGAAAAGACCGCAGTCTTCCTGCTCTGGTTAACCCCCCCCCCCCCCCCGGGAACTGCACATGATAATTCCATAGAACCGATGTCAATGTGGAAATATCCCAGTCTTTGTGTGTTTCTTCTTGTCCTTCTTCAGGACAGTTGCCATAGAGGTTTGAAGGGACTGAACACCTTTCACATTTGACACTGAAGGCTTTTACTGTCTATAGAGCTGAGCTCTTCTCACTGAGTGATTTTTGTGCTGAGTCACAAAATTGACTGGTGAGTAGGGAAAAAAATAAACATATCGTACAACTAACTGTCATTCAAGGTGATTTTGCTTAAAACGTGTTTAAAAAGATGAATTACAAAGTCCCTGAAACATTAAATGAATAATATTCCGTTAAAACAAAAAAAAGGACTAAAATCAAGGTATCAGGCTGTTCTTGTACTGAATGTCAACTCAATGAATGTCTAGAAGAAGCCAGTTCAGAGGTGCCACTGTTTTTGTCCCAGGTTTTAGGGTTTTATAAAATCCTATGTGTTGCAGTTGGGGTATAAAAATGTAACATTTCAAGTGTAGCAAGAATACAAAGACTAGACTAGAAAAACTTGAAATAAATTATATCACAATTGGCAAACCAAAGCAGTGTTTTTATTTCATACAGTCATGTTGTCCTGTTCCCGTTAAGATCAGACGAAGAAATATCACTCAATATTGACAAGAAGGAACTCTTACTTTGTTTTGTTAATGTCTGGTTGAATTGGCCCCATCTTTTTTTTATCTTCGTAGATGGCATTCTTTATTCTTGGATTTAACTTTCAGTGTTCAGATCGTTTCATCATCCATGGTTCTTCTCTGCTATATTGGTCTTCTCTTTCGTGTTCCTTTTTCACTTACCTGCTGCAAACCAGTTCCAGATTCACTGATTTTCCTCATCATCTTCTGTTTTTAGCTCCCAGGTTTTGATCTGCTTTTGTCAGTTCCATGCTTTTAGTATTGCTGCTTTCCTTATGGTTATTCCTTGAAGCCCTGTTAAGTTTCTGCGCCAGTTTCTGCCATTAGGTTTGGTTGGTTTTGTGATTAGCTTCGACAGTTTAGTTCATACTTTTGCGGCTCAGCCACGCTTTTGGTTTCTGCCGCTCTCATACCTCCAACTACAAACCCTGATGGTAACCAGTCATTTTTTGGTCATGTTGAGGCACTCTGGAATAAGCATAAATCATCCACATTTGGCAAATCCAATGTCAATTACTTTTTTCGCCGCCCATTTTAAGGAATTTCAGAGCATTTCTGTATTTCAATGGCCATACCAGTTTGATGAGTGTGGTCGCTTGCATAAATGGAAAATCACTCACCATAAATAGGAATTTTTAGTCATTTGTATCAAAACACCAATGAAATAAAAATATATTCCATATTATTTAAAAGTGAACATCACCATCTGCCTGGGTTTCCTCATAAGTGCTGATCTAGGGGGTATGCTTTTGCCAAACCTGAGGAAATTCTATCAAGGCTTTCATAAAACATTGCTTTTAAAGGGAAATTGGTCATGTGCAAGTTGTAACAAGCTGAGAAAAAGAAAACAGAATGCCTTTTACCATGACTTCTGCCAGTACAGAGGCCTTTGATTGTTAAAACAGAAAACAAGAAATCACATCCATATCAAGATTGAGTATTGTCATATAAAGATGCACTTGCTTCAGATAATAATCATTTAAACATTGAACAAGTGGAGTCAAACAGTCACTTGGGTCTACCAGCAAGTGAAACAAGGCAAAAATGACTGTAGTAGGGCATGAAATAAGGCATAGATGTAGCAAGGTTTTTTGAGGACATCTGCTACTGGTTACAAGTTAATGAACGATTCACAGATGTCATCCTCTGGGCCAGACTATCACTGCTCCAGACTTGGGGATTAAACCGAAAGGCTTAGGGAGAGGAACTGCACCGAAGAGGATTCATTAAGCACACGACCGCCACTAAAGCCCACATTGCAGCATCCACCGTGGAAAAAGAAAGGAAAACCATGAATGTCATCGCACGTTCAAATTAATGGACGTGCACTGTGTATTTCCTTTCGCGTCGGCCCAGCTTTCTGCGACTGATGGCATTCTCGGTGTTGTTAAGAGAGTTAAAAGTCATCCACACATCAGACGGAATGGTCCTCCCTGTATAAACCACTTCTGTAAACTGTGTGTATGCCTGTCTCTGAGTGTGTTTTAATGTTTGCTCAGAATGCGGTTAGGTGGCTGAGACTGAACCTCCCTTTTAATCTGACAGAGAGCATTTTCATTAGTTCTGTTTGGGTCCTATTATTAAAGCCTCCTTCAAAGGGCCCAACAAGTGAAACCGCTAAAAGGAAATGACCCGGTGGGCTTCAAACTGCATAAATCAGTGATAGCAATATGTGCTTTTAAAGCAGTTTGGCACATAACTGCGTTTATTGTACGCTCCCGTGTGCAGCTAACAGGAGTAGGAGGACCTTTACTCCGGGCCCAGTGCAGTTATGGGATGTGTGACACATACGTTCCAATGCACAGGACAGAAGTGGAAGTTATGACACTGATGGGGCAAATAGGATTGCTGGCGGTTAATAAATGCAACAATAATTTGCTGCTTTTAATAACTGTATAACGAGCCGTCGCTCGCTGTTTGGGTTTGAGGGGGAAATCTGGAGTCATTAATCTTCACATGAGTTAGCCACTGCGTTTGGCACAGCGGCAATGAGTAGGAACACAGCGGTGTCAAAGGAGCAACAGATCTTAATATTTTCAAACAAGTTTGCCATATGTTCGACATCGCCATGTGTACAGGCCCGCTAAGCAGTGGCATTAATGGCTGATTTTTTATTACCGGGCTCACTCCTAATTACGACAATGCTATCCAAAGTCAACTCTCGATGCAGGAATCTGGTGTAATTTGGGAGTTGCCGGGTAACAACTCA